AAGGAGTGCAAGACAGGGAGGGGAAAAGCAGGAGGAGGAGGAGAAAATAGACATTAGCCTCTCTGGGTTGAGAACAAATGGAGCCCCGAGAGGGACGTGAAGAGGAGGAACGAGGGAGTGAGGGGGGAAGGAGAGGTGAAGCACACAATGCTATGGGGCACGGCGGTTGGACAGACAGCATCTGCTCTCATCTCTCTGTGGCTCTGGTAATGGATGGAGAGTTGGAGAGACACGAGAGAGCGGGACGGAGGGAGACGAAGGGACCGCGGGAGGAAAAGCTGGAATATAAGCTGGGTGACGGAACAGGAGTTAAAACTTTAAAAAGTTTTCTTTCTGTATTTTGTCATTTTGGATGAAAACAAAAAAAACCACTATGGATAAAGTGTGTGTCTGTGGGAGGGCGTTATCAATTCAAATAGAGGGATGACAGACGGGTGGACAGACAAAAGAGGAAGAGGGACAAAAGGAGTGAGACATCTTTCCAATAGGAGAAAGAGCAGCTGATAAGGGTGGACACACGATACCCGCGTGTGTGTGAGTGCGGACGAAGGCTTCTCACCATGTTTGCTGGTATCTCCCTCTCACATAGAGATCATAGGGACTTCCTCTTTTAAATGCCGAGGTGTGTGTATGTATTAGTGTATGTGTGTCCTCTGTGGGAGGAGTGGTCACTGACAGAGGAAACTTGGCCTAGTCTGTCTTATGGAAATCTGAGAGTTTCCCAGAGCCATCATCAAACTGCCTCTCTATCAGACCCCACCTCTCTCTCTCTCTCTCTCTCTAGCCCATTACCAGGTCACACACATTCCTGTCTTATGAAAGATGATGTGTGTTGTCATTGGGGGTTCAAAGACAGAAAGAGGGGGCTGCGGGAGTATAAAGAAAAGGACACTAAGCGAGAATTTTCACTTGAGTCCTCACATGAAAGCGCTGCTCGCTCAAAGTCAAGGCTTTGGGAGGCCGGGTTTGTTTCGGAAGACTTTGATGCGATGGACAGAGCGAATGAGAAGTGGAGAAGAAAGAGAAGAAGAGAAGAAGAGAGGGGATCAGGAGGGGGGCTGAGAAAAGAGGAAAGTAGAGCCGGGGTCTAGGTAATTAACGGCAAGCTCTTTAATTACTGCTGGTGTTCATTATGCCAGAAGGAATGTGACAATTATGCCATTAAAACTTCCTAATGGGGGGAAAAAGCGAGGGAGAGGAGGGGGGATAGCGGAAGACATGCAAAAGAGGATGAAAGAATGAAAGGAGAGAGGCAACAGAAGGAAGAGAGAACGACGAGAGGGAGTGAGGGAGGAGGGATATGAAAGGAAAAGGGGAAACAATCGCGACAAAAGAGAAGCTGGGAGGGAGATGGGGAGCGTATTAGGCCAGCACAGTGACAGAGCAGATTAGCATCAAACAAGAAAGGCCACAGACGTGTGTGTGTGTGTGTGTGTGATCACTGAAACAGAGGACATATTCATTCCAAAGACGCCACCAAGGTGGATGGAACTTTGATGATGCAGAATCTGGCAAAGGGAAAACTCTGTGTGTGTGTGTGTGTGTGAGAGAGTGTATGCTTGCTGAATCTGCGTAGGCTCCTGTTTCAAGTGGTGGTGCAGGCAGGTAGGGGAGGAAGAGGAGGAGGAGGAGGAGGAGGAGGACGAGGAGGAGGTGGAGGAGCAAGGGGAGAGATCCACAGAAAAGGGCCTTGGGGGCATCTTGATACACATCCAGTACATTTCCATCTCCACATTACCTCTATGACTCACGCACACACTCACACACATATGAGACGGAAAAACATAACAAATGTGTCCGCGCACATACGTAATACACACAAACACACCATTCCCACACCAACATCAAACAGCAAGAACAACACACAACCCACGCACCGGCACTCACAAACACATACTGTCACACACACATATAACACCCACACACACACACACACACACACACACACACACACACCAAAAAGCCACACACAAACACTTAACACGCAGAGTCTTCGTGCTCACCAAGGCGGTTGGTTTGTCAGGGGGGTTAGAATTTGCATGGCTGGGCAAATTTTCCTTGTGCTAAACTCTAATCAGCTCCTGTATCTCTCAGACACCTGCCCAGCAAAAAAAAAAACCTTAATATGCAAAACACCTTCCCTCCCTCCTCCACTGCTGCAGCTCCTCGGCCAACAGAAGACTTATTCACCTGCCTCTCTCACTCTTGTCATCTCTGTCTGTCTTCTTGCAAATTTTCACATTTATGTAGGCAAATAGGCTGTTCCCCTTAAGCCTGTTTGAACAGTAGCTTCCTGGTGCCAGGAGAAGAATGATAGTTTTGTCTGAGATGTGACGGGGAATTTATGCTTCAGAAAGAATAAGTTTGTCAGCCGAAAAAGATGACGTGTCACCGGTGTTTGGGCAACTACGGCGTAATCCGTAGGGCGTCTTCGTAGAGGTTGTTTTGTCAATGTTTTTGTTTTTTTCTGTAACCGGTTATGTAAGTCACGCAAACGTTAAGAATCTTTTGGATTGATTTAATTTCTTTAAAGTGAAATACAGTGTCAAGTCAAAGATATATAATTATATAATTGTGTCCCCCAGTTTACATTTGTCCCGACTGCTCCGCAATACAACCCTCATGAAGTTAGATTTTTAACATTGATATTTTTAGGGCCCAAACAAAGTAAAACCAACGCTGAATGGAAGTCCAAAAATGTGTTGTGCTCATTGTTTCTTCTTTTTAACGTTTGACTGTGCAGTATGATGTATGTGCATGTTTGACGACCTCTGCTGAAGGGGGAAAGTTTCTCTGTGCTCACTGTAAATCTGAGTTTAACATGTGTGCGTACAAGCTCGATATTGTGACATCACAACTAAACTGGAAGCCATGTGATGTGGAAACTTCCAAGTCTACAGTGCACATACACTGATGGACTTTTCAGTGAAGTGGGAAATATCTTGTGTCCAGCAAATAAAGATATTAGCATATTCATAGATTCTGGATTGTTGATGAGGGAGAGAGAATAGATGTAATAAAAAAAAAAAACAGGCTGAGTATTTATATATGCCTACATCTCTTAACTTCACAGGGTCAAAATGTAGCACGTATCTATAAGAATCAAGTTTGTGAAGCTGTATGTTTTTGGGATATTATTTACTTTCATTTCCTGTGTCAGATTGTTTACCATAAGCAAAGCATGATTTGCTATGAAAACAGAAAAAAACATCTGAAGGAAAATACGCCCTGATTCCAAGATCAGGAAAAATGAAACCCAAATGAATTGGTGGTGTAAAAACCTCAATTTTGCAAAGGGTTGTAGGTGAACTGTCACTCTCTTCTTGGTTTAAAATGATTTCCCCTCTCAATAAACTAAAGATTCATCATGAGCAGCTGAACTGAAGGAATCGTGTCATTTTTCTTTGTGCTATGCTCTGATGGACTTTGGGCTTATTGAGACCTCATATATACAAGTGCCTCTGCCTGCCAGAGCCTTTCAAAGCCTCCCTTAAGAGAGCTGAAGATGGATGTGGGGAAGTGTGTGTGTGTGTGTGTGAGTGAGTGCGTGTGTGTGTGTGTGTGTGTGTGTGTGTTTGGGTGCACAGAGAGGAGCCCCAGTGGACAAATAACGGACAGAGAGAGATAGACGTAAACAGAGAGAAAGAGAGTGAAGCACTTTAAATGTGAGCGCTGCAAAACTCCCACTGCTCGCAAGGGCACTTCTCTCCTGCACGTCATCTCTCTTTCCCCCCCTTCTCTCCTTCTACCCTTCTTTCTCCCCTTCCCATTCCCCTCGATTCCCTTTCTCCCTCCCTCCCGTCATCGCTTTCTCCTTTGTCTCCGAGCTCTCACCCTCTATCCCCTATCTATCCATCTCCCTCTTCCCCCTCTCCCCCTCTTTCTCTCCCCTTCCTCTCACTAAAACAGTAGGACGCTTAACCTTGATAACAGTGAGATTTTTCCCCCCTCAAAGTGACACACACACACACACACACACACACACACACACACACATACACACTGGAGAAGTGCTTTGCCAGCATGCCAGGCCGGTCCAAGGGACGGCTGTACCCTTCGAGGTGAACAGGACACTTGGAAATGCAGCAACAACAAAACACTCACACACATAGATCTCTCTAACAAATGCACACACACAGAGACACACACAAACCCAGATCACTCCAGGTCCTTCTTAACACAACCCTTTTAAAGGTCTATTGTCAGCTGACATTGAGAGAGCACTGGCAATCCTGAAACACACACACACACACACTTTTTTACACACACGCGCGTACACAGTGGCAAAAGGAGAAGTGTGAAAAATGAAACATATTAAAGGTGAAGTTGCCTGCCGAGAATTTATGATTACAGTACGCTGGAAGACAAACACATAAACATCTCACCACAGATAGGTAAATGAGGACAGGGAAGTGAAATGCAGTTTCTCAAAAACATACACGCACACACACACACACACGCACACACACACGCACACACACACACACACACTGATAAGAACCACTGAGAGGAAATGAACAGCGAGGAAGAGGCATACGAGCGAGGTGTCAGTAAGGTTTCTTCCTCATTGGATGAGAGTTCCTCGAATCTCTTGGCGGAAACCTGTGATGCACACTTTATAAAAAAATATTTTCTTAATATTATTGCTGTCCAGCGAAAACCATGTGGCTCCAAAACTTCAGGTAAATTGAAGCATTTAGTTGACAGCTGGAAATGAGGCGTTTCTAGAGAGGTTTTCACAGGACAGCGACGATATACATTAGAGTACAGTGTGCCCAGGGCGGCAGGATGTACAAGAGACTTGAACTCAGCATTGAGAACAGTCACAGCGAGGCGGTGTCAGAGAGGACACAGTGAGACGGTGTCACACTACCCGTCTGCAGCACAAGTTATCAGGTGTAAGGTTTTTTTTCGATATGGACCGCATTAGCTCTCAGCTCCTCCTCTCACATACAACGATTCTTTTCCTGCATGAAACTGATGAAAGTGTTGGTGTTTACCTCAAAGTCATTGGCCTTGTTGTAGTGCATGTTGAGGGCTCGGAAGAGCTCGCTGTCGCGGGCGACGCCCAGATCCTCGACTCCAGTGACTCCGTCGTTGATGGACTGGCGGGCGAACTTCTCCATCTGGATGTAGTAGAACTCCCTGAAGTTGCTGAACCACTTGATCAGCTGGGAGGTGATGCAGCGATTAAACTGGAACGAGAGACGAGGAGGAGTTGGCATTGCTTAGGGTGTCAGTATTTGTTGAAAAACAGAAATATAAATGGGGTCTGAAAATAGTCTTCATGCAAGCAGTGTCAAGTAAAGACTGTCACGTCTAAACCTTATTAAGCCATTGGATTTGAGAAGGAATGTGAGGATCACAGCATGTCATTTCACATCAGGGAGTTGCGACGTGAGGTGATAACTTAAAAGGCCGTGAAGAAACCGAGAGAAAGATAAAAGACAAGAGCAAGAAACAGGTCGTGGAGAGAGGGGAGATAATAGAGACATTAAGTAAGACAGTGAACAAGAGGGGGTGAGAGTGTGTGTGGTTCATCCTCCCCACTGGGAGCAGACCTCCCCCTATCATAACCCTGAGAGTGGAGAGAGGTGGAAGAAGGGAAGGAGGGGGGGGGGGCGAGACCGCAAACACATAATTGACCAGAAAAACGATTAAGTCATCATCTGAAGCGCCCTGGGGGCTCAAACATGTACTTAACCCCGTTCACCAATTACACCCTGATTCTCCTCCCCTCTACGCACCTCTCGGGCAGAAAGAAAGGGGAAGCAAAAGAGCACAAAAAAAAGAAAGAGAGGGAAAGAAGATAAGCGCTGCGAAGAAGGCTGTGGCTATCTGATCTGTGCCGCTCGGCTGGATTCAATAGGGTGAGGTAAACCTATTAAGAGCCTCGGCTGGTCCCAGCTCTTTTTCCGCCTGGTCTCAGCAGTGAAAACACACTGTCTAAACATCCAAATCACTAGATAAGGACCTCGGGGGCTCAGGATAGCTGCCTAGCTCATTCACCCTAAAATGCCCCACTACAACCTCTGATCAATCCCCTGAAAACATACAAATAAAACCTTTACGTCTTTCCTCAGTGATTCCCAGAAATGACATCTCATAAATTCCCAAATCTAGCCTGTGAAACCTTGATACCCCTAACCATCACCCCCACACACTTCATCCACACACACACACACACACACACACACACACACACACACACACACACGCACACACAGGCCTTCACTCCTCCCTCCCCTCTGCTCTTTTTGTGGCGCTGGAAGAATGGGGGGACAAAACGCTACTAAACGCTGAGCGGACTGCTCGCTGGGGAGGCAGAGCGGTTTTGACATGGAGATTAGGCTCTGGCTATTGTTCGACAACACGGACACGCACAAACATGCACGCACACTCTTCGCGACCTGGGATTGAAGTCAAACACACGCAAGCACACGAAGATGGGCGGGCGAGGCCACAGACTGATAGGAAAGTTGGCCAATCATGAGCAGCGATAGTGTTGGACCAAGGTGGGACGGGGCTAAAGGAGAGGGCTGAACCTTTCTGGAATGATCAGCAGATGACATAATGGTGGAGTGGAAAAGAATAAGTCCGCTGACATTGTTTGGCTGTGGTCTGGGAGGGTGTATGTGTGTGTGTGTGTGGGGAGGGGGGGTTAGCATGGTGGCTGTCCTAAAGTGCAGGGTAAGCATAAATGGGAAAATGAGGGAGGGAGGATAGGAGGACGGGTGCAGGTCAGCGCCGTTGGACAATGGGGTTTCGCTGGTGGGGGGGTGGGGGGGCAGAAGGTCGGAACGTGAGCAGTCAGCAAGCTGGGGTCGTGACATCGCAGTGTCAAACAAACAAACTACTGACACTTACAAATACATCGGCTGCACGGGGCTATTCTTAAACACACACACACACACACTGTAGCAGACGGTCGGAGTGTGACAAAGCACAAACACTATTTCATTTAAGTTGTCAGTGTGGTATAAACCTTTCATTGTGTGTAGGATCGGAACAATGTAATGTTGGGTGTGAGTCTGAGACGTTTAGTGAATTGGCGTCGATCTACGCAAGCATGTGTGCATACGTGCATCCGAGCGCGTGCGAGATTGAGCGCTACATACTGAGATTAAAGTCAGTGAAAGAGTTGCCATCGCTCATGCGGGAGACCTTTGGTGTCACTGCAGCAGAGTGACGGATAGATTTGTCATTTGGACAAGGATTACTTTATTATACGGACAGCTCAGGAGAAGATGTATTAGGGCCTGTGCAACTGAATATGAACTGTAGCTCAATCACAGCACAGAGCACACAAAAGATCCATTATTTACTGTGCATGCAGGTAAATACACTAAATTACATTATATCTGCATCAGCTGCAACCAACACACTCAGGGACTCAATTTTGGCAAGTCCCCCTGCAGCTTCCAGCAGTCTTGGTTCATTAAGTTGCTGGCGGGGGACAGAGGCCCCCTGATAGCGGCTAACGACGAGTGTGTTCAGTGTATAAGGAGGGAATTGGTTCAAAGGAGCACATCACTGCAGCTCCTTAATCAGAGCTGGCAGGGGTCAGCCCGCACAGACATGAGATGCAACCAGAAAAATGTGTGTTTGAGCATATACGTGTGTATAAGGGTGTGTGTGTGTGTGTGTGTGTGAGAGCGCCTGGCTGAGAGGCAGATGAGAGAGAGACAGCGAGAGCGTGTTTCTCACACTCACACTCAAGAGCCTGTGAAAGGTCAGCACTTAGTGCTAACAGCACAAGATAGAAAGGGGTGCGCACACACACACACACACACACACACACACACACACACACACACACAGACGCGCTCTGCTCATGCAAAGGCGCATACTTAAGTCCAGAATAGGAAAACACTCAAGTATCCTTGGTTAAACTATATTAGTCGCCTGCCAAAAGTATTCAGGCGCTTTAACCGTCAGCATTAAACTTCTGCAAACACACATCAGCTAATTGTGTGTATAAACATTAATAAAGATTAATTTATTAATGTTTGTTTTTTGGTTTGGGACGAAAATATCCAATTGTTATTCAGATAAAGTGTGTCTCTATCCAACACTTTCTCTCACATAGTGGTCAGCAACGGAGCAGAAAGCACACAGATGACCTCAGAGTGCAAAGCTACATCCAGAACAACCGCAGAGGAGAGCAGAAAGACAGAGAAGCCTGTACGGGCCTCCCTCTCTCCCTCTTTCTCCCTCTCTCCCTCTCGCTCTCTCTCTCTCTCTCTCTCTCTCTCTCTCTCTCTCGTAAGCCCCTTCACAGTCATGAGGGCTTTCCAACGTTTCCTGTTTTCGCAGGGGTGAATTGTGGGAGATAATCTCCGGCTGCCTATTGGCTGACTGCACACAAAAAGCGGCCCTGGAAAGCGGGCTTTTGTTACTGCTGCGACTCAAATCCAGCGGCTGGCTTTTCTTTCTCCCCGGCCCCGCCGAGGCACACATACCATGCCACACCATCAGCGAAAAAAAAGAAAAGAGAAGGAATGACATATAGAAAAGGGAAAACCCTCCTGACCTCCGCTACTCCACAGCACATGACTGGCCCAAATACTGAAGCTTGTCCCTAAAAGAGCAATAGAGAGATAGAAGGCAAGATGTGTGTGCGTCAGCTTGTGTTTGCTTAAGAATGAGAAATGTATATCTACAATACATAAAGGTACAAACAGCCTATAATGAATGTACAGTACACACACTCTCTCTTTACAAAGCCAATAACTTTTGCTAACTTTATTAATTGACTGAGTATCCTCATTCAATATGTGCATTAATCTGTTATAATGAATCAGCCTTTCTCAAAACAATACCTGAAATGATAATGAGACGTCTTAAAGCTAGAGGGATAATATAGGCTGGCATTAGTAGTACTAACAATGGTATTTTGACAAACCTGTCAAAACATTTCATAAACATCAAAAGTCAAAAAAAGTCACAATAGTCTTAAAAGGAGCCTAATCAAGGGGACCAGCAGCTACAGCGTCCCTCAGTTATTAGGGCAACCCACTTCTCACGTTCATTAGATTCTTGACAGTCTGATTAGCCTTTAAGACTTTTGTCTGAGGACTCGCTAAGAGGCCGCCCTGGCTGCATCTAATTAGATAGTCAGTCTCATTCCCATACATGTCTGTTAATTTACAGCTTAAGTCTATTGTCCTCTACTGAAAACAAAAACAAACTAATGTGCCCCATAATCCCCTTAACTATCTTGACCTTGTTTAAGTATCCGATGAGGCCACCAAGAAGAGGCCACCTCCCAGGTAGTGATTAGTCAGTGAAACTGATGAAACTAAAAGTGTTTAAATCTGAAATAGCAGTTGTTGCTGAATGGTTCAAAAGGCAAATAACATAAATGTTAAATCAGTGGGATGCTTTATTATTGAGGACTTTTGTAACAAAACTCCTTTTCAACCCAAACCAATAATGTGCTGGGAGAAAAATCATGTGACCCCCGAGTTATGATTGGTGGCAACAGCATCGAAGAGGGGGCAGCTGGGAAAAAGGGGGAACTTTTATCTTTTGATTTGAATAAGATGGCCTGGATATGTCACAGTGTTTACCCCTCCGTATGGTCCGAGAGGGGCGCACACACACAAAACAACAACAACAAGAACAAACTCGGTCGCCCACACCACAACGGCCATTGTGCTGTTGTTCTTGTTTTTTTTTTGTGCAGCTTACATATTGTGCTTTGTTTTCAAAATTTCCTTCATTAAAATCCCAGTAGAGCTAACGCTCATCCTTGCTATGTTTCCTAAACGGACTCTTTCAACCCTCCCTCTATCAAACCATCCTCCCCACACCTGCTCAGATAACCACTCCTCCGTCTCTAGGCTCCATCCTCCTCTCTGCCCTCTCTATCCCTCTATTACTCATCCCGCTAATACTCATAGTCTCTCCAGCTCCCTCATGTAAACCCATTCAACTTCCTCTTCCTTCATCTTTTGCATAAAACCGTAACTTAGTGAGGGAAAGGGCTTTGTTTCAGAGGAGCAAACGCTGTTCAGGGCAACTGAAGCTGGCACATCCCAATAAATCAATCAAACGTCCCCCTTTGAAGCAGGTGCATTGACAAATGTACATCCATCTTTACACTTGTTACACGCAGCAAAAGAAGTCACCATCTCAACAAGATGAAGGTACAAATTAGTTTAGAATAGCTGAAAAGAGACAGTAATGTGTACCAAAATTAAAAAGGAAGATAATGGCAAAGGTCTACAGAGGAAGAACATGTTTTGACATACCTTGACATCAGAGAAGAACATCTTGAGCATATTAGAGCTTGGGTAGCGGCTGTAGAAAAACATGAGCTTGGCCTTCTTCAGATGATTGGGGGAGAGGCCCTCTTGAATCTGAAAATTGCTCCCGTTAAGGACAATAACAATTGTTTGGAGGAAAACAACAAATGGCAGATCAAGCAAATGATGTTAGCCCAAATACAATATGTACGTACTAATAATTGGCTGTAAGATCGGCAAGACATCATCATTTGGATGATGGGTAACCAAATTTCCTGTCAGGCATGAATGCAGGGCTACTGGAGGGGGGATGGGGGGGCTGAAGACAGTGCACCAAAGCAAAATCATTAGCATCGTCCGTATCAGGTGTGAGAGCGTGAGAGCGTCACGGTAAATAAAACGCTGGCCAGCACTACAGCCGATGCTTTTACATAAGGAGGCTCATTTCACAGTCAAAGCAAGCAAACGCCTTTGCCTACACCCCGCGCTAACCTCCACCCGAGAAAAAGGAGGAAGAAAAAAGGAGACATTTGCATATCACAGACAAAGACAGCAGTTAACGCCAGTGACGGGCAAGAAGGCCTAATGGCTTGGCGACAACTCATGCCAAGCCTGAATATGACTGTTTGATATTGGCTTCATATCAGTGACAAAACAAGGTCCAGGAGATAGTCCCAAACACCGGCGCAAGCAACGTGAAAAATCCTCTCACAGTCGCATAGGCCATATTCAAATACATGTCAGAGGCCTCGTCTTCCTAATGGATCGCCTGGATTGAACAGCAGAGTGGATGGAGATGGGCTGGTGGGGGCACCTTGAGGGATAGTATAGTTCCAACCTTCAATTACATCCCCCTCCTCCTCCCTCTGCTCCACCCCTGCCCCCCAGCCTCGCTACCGCTGCCAAAGCCTTGGAGGAGCAAAAGAAGGAGGAGGAGAAGGAGAAGAGGGGCTCTGAGGCTTTGGACTCAGCCAGTGATGGGGGGGGGGGGGGGGCTGAAACACATCTGCGCCACCGAACAGCCCAAGCCATTTCCATGGTGAATTAACGGCCGTATAATGCATCTGATAATATCAATCTGGAGGATAAGACATTGAAAAGGGAATGGGGTTGGGGGGCGGGCTGCATGTTAAAACCTCAGGCTGTTTCAACAAGGATTTTCATCAAGCAGAAGCAAGACAGGCCTTTAAATTACGCAGAAGATACAGCCCCAAGTTTTGATGAAGTCTGTTTACACTCCACTGGACGAAATACATCGCTTGACATTATTTATGATCTACAGGGGTGGCTATGATCGTTAAAATCAGTCAAGTGTCCAGATGTAGCTGTAACTATAGAGTGGGAAGAAGGCATCAGCTGCTCGATTGGATTGCCCTTGGCCTCAGGGTTACACAGCAAAGCCAGCAAATACTGAACCACATTGGGGTTGGCTCCTTAAAAACCCTGTCTACTTTGTCTGATTCAGCGAGAGAGAGGAAGAGAGAGAGACTTAGTTGTATACGCAGCGAGGGTCTTGTGGGGGAAACCCTGGCAGACTGGTGTTACTCTGTCAGGCCTGGCCAAAAGAGCAGCACTTCACTCTCCACACCACACCATCTGCTCCAAGTGGAGGGGATACAATGGATCCTCAGACAGAGAGAGAGGCAGAGGGAGGGACAGAAAAAGAGAGCTCTTTCTCAGTAAGGCAAGGTGGGATTTGTTTGCTGTGAAAGCTGTGCACTTACACTTAGATTAATTTGTTTTTGCTTTTTCAATTAGGAATAGCATCGCTTTCTCCTTATCGCTGAAATTAGAAATGATTTTAAAACAAAGACGTCGAGGTTTTACCTCTCCAGCCATGAACACAATATCACCTCCCTTCAGATGACAATTAAGAAGCTTCATATCTCCTGATGAGGCATTTTCATCTCTAATTCACTCACAGCTTGCAAATGTAATTGTGATTGGACTTAGGGGTGGCGTGCGAGGCTATTATTTTGTCATGATGGTGCACTCATACCAGGTGGCCCACTGTTCGCTTGCCACATCTGACAAGACATCATCATTCTCAAAACACATCCCCAAAACCCAAAGTCATGAGAGGAAAATAGCTGCTCCACTTCCTAATTCCAGGTGTAAGGACAAGAATATTTGGAGTCGGACTGAGAACAAATGAGGAAATTGATAGCAGCCATCTGCTCCACAGCGCTGCGGAGAGCTGGTGAACTTGAACACACCTCGCAAAATGTCTGACAAGCTGTCTCTGGCTCCTGAGGCTCCGAAAAAAAAAAGAAACAATTCTACATCAATGGCACATGCTATAAACCGAGAGAGTGGAAATGCAAATAAACGGAGTCATTAATGTCATACTAATTATAATTAAAAAATGTACAAAGCTCTCTAGAGTAAGTGCCAAACTTTGTTCCTAAACCTGTGATAAAATCAAAAATGAAAGATAAAATAAGTGGACATGTTGTTCTGCCTATTCTTTCCATTTAGGGGAGTACATCTGTTAAAACCCTGAATTCATAAATGCTACAATGAAAGCCACAGCATCTGGCATGTGTGGTTATTGTTTGATTGTTTTTTACTTTCTCTCAGTCTCTGTATGTCTCTCTCTCCCTTTTCTCTTTTCATCCCTCCATCGGGAGCCCGTAGAAGCAAAGGATTATGGATCTCTGGAAAGCATTCACCCTTGGGTCAGAAGACAAGACAAGGCGAGGTAATGAAAGATAAACAGCTCGCTGCAAACACCTGTTAACGTCTGCTTCAAAGAAAAGACAGGGAGGAGGGGGGGTTTGCAGGGAGGGAAAACAAAAAAAGAAGTATTTGGCTGCCAAGCAACAGCCGAAGGGCCCCCCGGGCTGTTGACAGATCTTTATGAAATGAAAAAAAGGGAAAAGAAACGACAATGATTGTGGGCTTTTTACAACAACGATGGATGATAAGAGGAACACAAGAGAAAACACAAGCAATCATAAATATACATCTTTACTGAGTCCTCAGGCAAACCTTTTGTGACATGCACACACACACAAAAAGACACACACACACACACACACACACACACACACACACACTTGGAGAAAGGCTAGGCACTCAGGTACTCACAACAGCAAAAACAAGGCATTTTAAAGTGTTAATTATGCATATTCACTTAACTAATAATGCCCCAACAGGTAAAGACTGATGGATCAATTTCTTAAGCATATAATGAATGTTAATGACTTGAAGACAAAGCTTTCTAAGGACAACCAGTGTGACATGAATCAAACTTTCATAAGGGTTAAGTGGTGTTGAATACTTAGGAACTAAGGAGGTATAAGGGAAACAGAGAAGGTACTGAATGTATCTGTTTAAGCTCTTAGTCCTGAGTCCCTGGGGGTTTCAATATGAGCCTCCTATAGGGGATAGCTTCTTTATCTGTAGGGCATGGTTGGGGCGCACTGGGGTTAAACTATAAGGAAGGCTATATAACACCATTGTGTGCCAAGTTTCAGGACGCTATCTCCCTCCTTGTTCTTTCAGGCCATTTTTATAAAAAGGAATTGGGGCAGTAAATGTCGCAGGGACCTAATCTTCGTGAGTAAGTGATATGTGACAAGAGAGCTTTTAAGCACTTAGGATTGGCGAGGGAAGAAAAGGCTGAACGGTGCTGTGAGAAGGAAGAGGTAAGAGTATAAAAATAAATACAACAATGCAGTACAATGGAGAGGAGAACAGCAGTGGGAGGAAAAGTGATTCATCAACAGTTTCTTAGGCTAGTATCAAACAGGCTGAAAAAGATTAGATTTTTTAACTCTTTGTGGTTCAGATGCAATGTTTTACACCTGTCTCTACTGGGAATAACCACCTGAAAGCTTTTTATCTGGCTTACACACACATGAGCTGGTCTGACCTAGACCATGTCTTTAAATCATCAGGATCACTGTCAAACACATTCACTTATTATTGTCTTTCAACCCCCTCAAAACACACTTTTTTTTGAAAGGATACATTGCTGCCTGAGTAGGGGGAGATGTCAGCCATGTCCTGGAGGTCACTGCACTCAGACTTGATGAGGGACAGGGAAAGCTCGGCTGTGCTGCCAGGGTGCACTGGTGAACAAGAGCGATGGTGGTGGTGGTGGTGGCCCAGATGGTGAGCTGATGCCATCTTGGTCCTCAGGCTGGTGGTCTCCCGGGACAGGTCCATGGAGTCTGGAGAGGAACGGTCCTTGCCTGGGTAGCCACCCGTGGGCCCACCAAGGGGACTCTGGAAAGGGTAGCCCATGAGAGGCAGGGGAAAAGGGTGTCTAAAAGATGGGGGGCTGAAGCCCATGGAGGCAGAGAGTGAGGAGGGGTGAAGGACGGGGTGGTGGTGCCCGCCATGGGCACCCACAGCTGAGGACTGGTGGTGGTGGTGGTGATTGTGGTGGTGCTCACTGGCTGTCTTCCTCACGACTAAGGGTATTGCCTCAGTTTGGTCATTGGTGGGACCTGGCATCCCGGGCATGCTGGCGAAGGAGTCTAGTGGATTGGGAATGATGACATCTCCGAAGCACTGCAGCCTCTGGTTGGCGGTGTGGAAGTTGGGGTTGTCTCCATTGACAGTGGTGGGAAATCTTTCAGGAGGAATGGAAAGTGAGGGGAAGGCTTGCTGGGGTGTGGGGCGTGGAGGCTTGGCAAACACCTTAACCACTGTGTCCACTACCTGGGTCATGGCTGAATTGAGTTCCTGCTTCAGTGTTTCTGCCAACTGTTTACCTTCAGCGTGCATGGAGGAGCCTGGACCTCCCTGTCCTTTGCTCCGGCTGAGCCCCTCTCTTCTTGGCTTGTCTCTGGCTGCGAGCAAGGCCTGCTGCTGAAGCAAGGCCCGCGCCCTGTCCAGGAAATGGCCTGGGTCCAGGTCGGACATCTCATTGTCAGAGCGCAAGTCATCTCCACCCCGGTCATCGCCGCCGGTGTCAGACCTGGCTGGGCTGTCTTCAGACATGTTTCCTATGTCATTGTTGAGCTCATTGTGGAGGTCGTTGTGTTCCGAGTCGTCGGTTGAGTCATAGATCTGAAAGAACTTCTCCTGCAGCTGACGTAGCTGTTTCTGCATGTCCTCCAGCTGCAGCTTCAGTTGCCGTCGCTCCTCCTGCTTCTGCTCCTTTCTCTGGCACACCAGCTGGGTGAAGCTCTGCTGTTGCTGCTGAGGCAGACGCTGCTTACGCTTGTTCTCTCGGCTGTTGCTGCTGCAAACCTCGCCTCCCCGTGGGCTGCTGGGGGCCTGCTGCTGAGACTGAGGGGGTGGGCAGTCTAGATCGATCTCGTGATCTCCATCCATCTCATGGTCACGCTCATGACGGGAAGCAGCAGGTACCACCACACTGGGTGAGTGGCTCATACCACGTATAATGTTCTCTACACGGGCTCGCTTGGCACGCAGATGTTCATCATTTAGACGTTCAATGTCAAAGGTGGCCAGGCCAGGACGACCGAAGGGGGACAAGCACTCTTGAGGGGTGCTATCATGGGAGGAGTTACTGCAGGCATCCTCCTGGGGAGCATCTGAACTTGCATTGGAGAGCCCTGAACCGGGGAAGCCGACATCCCCTCTATCACCCCTGTCCCCTCTTTCTCCCCTCTCAAGTCCTCCTCCATTTTTAGCCATGTTATTCTTGAGAAGCTGGGAGATAATGGTGGTGCCAGGGAAGGGCATCATGGTGTCCTCGTACGAGTTGGCCCTCTTCAGTAGCTTTCGGAGTACATTGGACTTGGATTCAGTGTCGCTGGCTGACACAATGCCAGGTCCACCATGTGGCTGCACTACAGAGCACTCCATGGAGTCGGTGTCTGATCCGTGGTGAGAGTGGGAGCTCAGAGAGTTCATGGCACTGAAAATGGCTGCTTTGGCGCGGGCAATGCTATCAGTGGTTGTTGTTGTGACTGCTGCTGCGGAGGAAGCTGTGCTGCCTACGGTCCTCTTAACACCAATGTCCACACGTCTTCGCTTGGTCTGTCTGTTCAGGAGGGAGTCGCTGTCATGGTCCGGCATCACGGGCTGCTGCTATTGGGCCATATCCCGAAAACCTCTGGGATCAAGTACCTGTGGGCAAAAATGTACAGAACCATGACTCACCAAAGAGAAAAAAATATTTCAGAATCTAAGTCACTCACTCACCCAGGCAGAACATGTCTACATCAATTTCAAAACTAAATCTTCGTTAAACAGAAAAGCTTGAAAGTTTTTACAAGATAGACTGAAACAATCAAAACCTTGCAGACTTGCATTAGTCAACATTATGTATATAAAGGGAAGAGTTCTGTCTCAAGCCAGCAGGCAATACCTCCACATATGTTTCTAAAAGGACGGGCACCCATGATTACATTTAGGCAGTAAGGACCAGTGACAGAGGGGTAAGAGGAACAAGCAAGATGGGGTCAGAATTAGGCCTTGGCTCGACATTCCAGGGCAAAGTCCTACATTTTATCCTGTCCCCTGTTACACGCCGCGCGGCACTGAACCAGTTCCCACGGAACACAAAGCTGCATAAAATTATGATAATTACTTAAGTACTTGTCCTCATTTCCATTTTTTGTGCAGTGTGAGCAAACATAGGAGCTATTAGTTCTTAAAATAAAATAAAAGGAAATAGCGTTAAGAGCATCTAAAAAAAAAAAGTAGTTTACAAGGAGAGGCAATGCACATGCCATTATATACCCTTTATTAAATCCTATTATGTAAGTGAACAATCGTTTGGTCAATTCAACAAAATATTGTCATTTTAAACCATGTTTACACTTAATTTTAAAATGCACGTCCTGTGTTCACATTAATCAATATAGCCATCATATCTTAAGCAATAGGGAGGGTGACACAAAAAAGAAACATAAAATAGGCCTATTGATTTTCGTGCCAGCGTGAGCTCACTTCTGTGTTTTTTGTTTGTCTTTTCATCTGGCAAGGGCAGTTAATTCTGCTCAAATGAATAGGTCACAAGGGTCAACTCTGGCAAGGAGCAACTTAAAGCGCTCTTACAAAAACCCTAATGCCCCTCTGAAAGCAAAACGTTTTGTCAGTACAGGCCTGCATCAATACTGCTATGTAAGCAGCGGTGGCAGTGTCTTAGTCAGAGCCATATCAGATGCATCCAATTTCAAATGTAGTGAGAATATCAGAAACAATTTAAACTGTATGCCTTTCTTTGAATTTTTTTTGTATTTCAGAGGTTTGTAAATGTATAAATTTGGCAATCTCTTTTTTAACAGCATAAAAGTGGCAAAAGTGTTGCAACAATTTATATTTTTCCTTTTACACTTCAGGAAAACACCAGCCCTTTTTCAGATTATTTATTATTATTTGACTCTAATTCTACGTATTGCAAATATACTGAAACATTACTCCAATTTAAGCAAACTGAAAGATAGATCTGCTACATAGCTATAAACATTTAGATATTTTTTTCTTTTTTATAGAAATGTCAAATGACTGACTCATAAACATTTAATTGTGCTATAACATTTGAAGACAAAAGTCAAGAAATGACGTCTAATTTGAAGGCTCAGTTTCAGCAAACAGCAGGGAAAACTGAACTCAGTGAGACTTAGAAACATTCTCTTTAACTGATCATTTGCTTGTTCAAACTAAAATAAATTGTGTCATATTTACATAACAAGCAGGTGAAGAGTAATTTGAAAATAAAGAAAAAACATTCACACACACACACACACACACACCACACACGCGCACACAAACTTTGCTGCTGGCTTTGTTTGCCACTGTGTATTGTGATGCACCACACAAGTGGCAGATCTTTAACTCTGAAAATAACATTTTATAAACTGACAAGACTAAAAATCCTAATTTACCGCATACACAGGCTTGGTAAAATGTCTCCCCCCTTATATCTGTATTGAAGTGAAACCAGTATTTTAAAATAAAACCATTTTTTATAAATGGCTTTGGCCCAAGTCTTGACAGTCACATCAGCAGTTAAGACAAGAGGTGATACATCTCCAAAGAAAAAAAAAAACTGACTTGATCGCCTCAGGACCTTAACAATGAGCTTGAAATAGTCACCAGCACCTGTCTTTTCCGACGGCGCACCTGTCTCCCATTGCCCATGCGCACTCTCTCTCTCTCTCTCTCTCTCTCTCTCTCTCTCTCTCTCTCTCTCTCTCTCTCTCTCTCTCTC